TTGGTGCCAGATTTGATCGAGCTCATAGAACGTTCGTTTAGTCAGTCGAAAGGGGAGGGGAGGAGGTTGTGTTTGTGGTTGACAATGGTCAAACCTTGGAAAATAGCGAACGCCGTCGTATTTGTGAGTGATCCCATTCACGTGCGGTGATTTTGGGGGTGGAAACGGGATCTCCCCAAGAGAGGGTGTGGGGGAGCGTAAAATTGTTGAAATTTGGTGGAGCGCGACATATACCCCGATAACAATACTGACAATGAGCGCCACATCCTTACCTCGCAAATAAAAAAGCATGCTGAGTAGGTATTGAAAAGTCACTACAGTTCTGTGTGGAATTCGAGTACATGGCGCATCTCAAAAGAGAGCAAACAAGCACTCTCGATTAGTATTCGACTATCGCGGTAATCAACAAGCGCGGAAACAGCATTTGCTAGATTGTCTCAAAGAAACAGTAACCGGGAGATTTCAATTAATCTGTTGCGAAAAATTGCTACTGAATTTATACCATGAGTACACATTCCTGCTTCTCGATAGGCAAACCAAGTTGACAGTACTGCAACCCATTTCATTTTCAGATCACGGCATGGCCAGTAGCGCTGAGAAACAGGCTCGACTGAATTCATTGCTGAATAGAAAGAGAAAAGTGGAGAAAGGGAGCCAGCCGGCAGCAAGCTCTTCAGCGGAAACGTCGTCAGTACCACATCAGAATCCTGAAGAGAAATTGGGGGCGAAAATGACAAGTGCGGAAGAAGAGAAGAGAAAAGTATGTTGATGAGGAAACCGTTTGGAGCTGAATACATACATACCTCTGAAAAGGACAAGATAATAAATTTAGGCCACGGAGTTGATTCTCCGAGAAGCGAAAATGGCTAAAGAACGAGCGGAGCAGGTTGGACCTCAGGGCTGGTGAGTATCCTTGATAGTATCGCAACCCACTCCTTCCACTTAGTCGATCTTTAGTGAGTGATTCGATGTTGTTGTCGGCTAACCGGAGACCGGCTTCTGTCAGTGGGTTGAAAAATACGTACTGACAGGCTGAATGGGGCCTCAGTTGCGCTACTGATTTCCG